GATAGATAGATAGATAGATAGATAGATAGATAGATAGATAGATAGATAGATAGACAGATAGATAGATAGCCAGGTAGATAGAGAGATAGATATATTTACATGAATACGTGAATTTAAAAAATCATTATTTAGTTGTTTGTTTATTGTTTGTTTGTTGTTAGATAAACCTTACTTCACTGCAAAACATATAAGGCATATTACATAACATTGTGTATGTAAGAAACACTATCTACCCTACATAGTCGGTTCGATGCATGTAGTATGGAATAATAATATCGTCGCTGTCCCAAGCAATCCACATATAAGTCCAAGTTGAGATTATTCGATTTTCACACCATCCCAAAGCTCTATCAAAGACGCACCTTTCAACATCACCAAAATGCAATTTAATGAGATGGCCAAGGCCTACCATTTTCTTTTTTTTCATGGTTCCCAATAGGAACAGCACCACAAAAACTAGTTGTTGTTTTTGTTTTGTTTGTTGTTGTTTTTTTCCCCTTGGTAAACAATATCCAAACGGACTTAAACAAGTAATTATGTACGACACCGACGGCATGTGTTATCAAATTGATTGTCATCGGGAGATATGAGCTAGACACATTACTTGGCAAACTTGTGTAGTTTTTGTATAGCCTCATCGGGTACGTCCGACGGTTTCAGTCGACCCTCCATCAAGTCTTTAGCCTTCTGTCGCATCTGTAACAACAGATTGTATGTCCACTCAATAATAATGATGATGATAACAACTATAACAATGACAACAACATTAATAGTTACTATAATAAAATAATAATAATAATAATAATAATAATAATAATAATAATAATAATAATAATAATGATAATAAAAATAAGGATACTGATCATGACAATCGTGATAATCATGATAATCATGATGATAATAATCACCCCCAAAAAAGTAATAATACCATCATCATATCATCACCATCATCATCATAAGTCAGTGTCTGACGATGACCAATTCATCTGTAGAGGAAAATATCCCTCAAGCAAAATAAAAGAAATATATTATAAAGATTAAATTGACCTTTGGCTATTTTTCTGCCCAACGAAACCATTCTGGAAGAGAAGAGTTCGTCACTTTTCTCTACTCAGAAATTAAATATAGCTAATATGTTATATCAGTACTCTATATTCTTATTTTATTTCGCCGTAAATATTTTTTAAACATCATTATTACAAGTCAGTATTTTCATGGCTGTCGTGTTAATTTTAAGCGCTCCACCGTGGCACACACAAGTTGTAACTTCCTTTTCTTGAAGGCAAGTGATTGCGTTAGTATCTCCGTCTGTCTGCTTGAATGTTGTATCCTCTCTCTCTCTCTCTCTCTCTCTCTCTCTCTC